CCTGTCCCAGGCCCCCTTCTCCCATTGCAAGCCCCCATGGGATCTCTGCCATACCCCACACCCTCACCTGTCTGGGGGTCCCGGGCATGCAGCAGGGCAGCTGGCTTACCTTGGCGACCGGGTTCCGCAGGAGGAACGGGCACTTCGTGGTGAGCACCTGACGTGATTGCAGGTGGTGGTGGATGAGCGAGGGGATGGTGGGTGCCCCCACCCCTCCAGGCTCAAGCTGGTACCTGCCCTGCAGAAGAGCCCAGATCCGTACAGAGTGAGCAGGGGAGGGGGGAAGTCAGCTGATTGGCACAAAGCTGCCATTGCAGCTGATAGACAAGGGGAGTGTAGCGGCCAGGTTGGATGAGTCCCCCTCTGGGGGGGGTCCCCAAATTTTAAAAACCATGGGAGGGAGCAGGGAATCAGCTGCCTTGAGTGAGCGAGAGCGTGTGCACTGCCCTCTGCTGGAATGAATCAGAACTCTACTGTGTGCGTTACAGGCCCTATACTGCTCCCAGCCAGTGGGGATTCTCCCATAGCAGGGGGCCGTGTTTCTGGACCAGGTGGCTCTGAGTTCCAGCCCCTCTGCTGCCGTGCACTTCTGAGCGGCAACAGCTGCGAAGCCCCCAGGTAGCCACTGATTGGTTACAAAACCTTACATTTGCATAGCGTCCTTCGGTCTACGCTGTAAAGATTTGGAGCCTGATTCTCCTTTATACTAAGGCCCCCTTTGCAGAGCGCTGGCTGCACGATGGGGCCAGCAAATTAGCATCGCCATTTTACAGATGGGGAAACTGACGCACAAAGAGGTCTAGTGACTTGCCCACAGTCTCAGCCGGAAATAGAAGCCAAAGCCCGTTCCTCTTTGGCGCTGCAAGTCCAGCCAGTGACTGCTGGAGGGACGGCCAGAGAACTAAGTGTCTTGATTCAGAGAGATCAACTCAACTACATGAACAAGCATGAGAACAGCCCTCCCACCAGACTACCATGTGACAGCACCTTCCGCCAATGTCCATGTGTCCTCGGTGGCCAGGCAGCACTCCTGGGGACCGGACGCTGGCTGTAGCCACGGCCTTGGGGCGATTAGCTGGCATGCACAGCCTGCGGGGCTCACCGTCACGTCCCCTCCCCACGGAGCTCCTCACCTTCCGGCACTGGATGATGAAATGCCTGCACTGTCCTCCAGCCAGTGCAGACAGGACATGGGCTCCTGGCCTCCCCTGGCTTGCGCGGACCAAGAAATCCCCCTCGCTGGTCAGCAAGGCCTGAGCCTCCTGTCTGGGGAGCGAGCCGTGGTACCAGTCCTGCTGGCCAAGGGGCCTCTGGGCCACCGGCACCAGTGGCACCGGAGGGGGCAGCTTGTGGTCGTAAGAGAACAGGAGAGAATCTAGGGTTAGACGCTTGCCGGGCACCCATCTTTTTAAGAACTCACTGGGGCTCCTGCCAGGGAGAGGGGTTGGGGTGGCAACCCTAGAGATGGCAGACCGGGGCAGCCCCCTCCATGCCATGCGCTGCTCCTTGCCAGCATGCCTCAATCCTACCCTGCAGCGCTCACCTCCCCAGCAGGGTGCTCCGGGACTGTCACCCCCACCCAGACACTCCCATGCAGGGGCCAGGCCGGGCCAATGGACAGGGTGGCTCATTTGGGATGCGAATGCTTTTGCATTCAGTGCACCGAGACCTGTAAAAATTCATCTCATGCAGCGGCTATGGTGCAGCCCCTGGCGGGGACTAACTTTCCATCCTTGATGCTAGACACTGAATCTGGAGCAGCGGCCATTCCCCGTGGTTAACTGCAACTTCACTGGATCGTGGGAATTCCACCCACTCTCTTGCCCAACACCAGGGATTGAACCGGTGACCTGTACAGCACAAATCTCCACAACTTGAGCTAAAGCTCCCTAACCGGCTCTGGCTCAGGGACCAGCAACACACCCTGAGTTGTGGATCACACCAGCAGCTAAGCCTCCCCCCGGATCACTTAGGGGTTCCTATGGGGTTTATAAGGGACACACTTCTATGGGGCTTGCTGCCTCCCCCTTTCTCCGCATTGTCACACTGTACCCGGATGGGTCTGATGGGGCGCAGCCTTTCGTAAGTGCAGTCCCACGCGTATTTCTGGCATGAGGGGCAGCTCATCCTTCATTCCTCCTAGTGCCGTGCACCTGTAGGCCCTTGTAACCCAGCATGGGAACCTGCCACCCGGCCACACTCCGGGGAGCCTGTCTGGGGGGACAATGGGGTATTATGACATCAGCAGTCACGTGAGACCGGACAGACTCTGGGAGGAATGCGTAGGTTTGAGACATGCTCAGAGTTACACCCACAACAAGGCAGCACCGGCCCCACTGGCTTGGGCATGTAAAGCCAGGCCGGAAAATGACGCAGGTGAGAGTCCAACACCCCGAGGCTGAAGGAAGAATACAGAAGCCGCCCCCAGAAGATGTGTGTGTATGTGTGAGGCAGGGGGATGTCCTAGAGGAAGGCAGGTCAGCCTCTGGGATCTGGCATTGAACAGAGCATGCTGGAGGGGGCAGCCCCGTTTGATGGCATTAACGCCAGGACATAGTCACGCGATGCAGGCCCTTTGTTAGGCACATCGCGTCAATATACAATTCTATGCATTTAAAACCAATAGGACCTGATTCTCAGTTATGCTGAGGCCCCTTTCCACCGCTCGGGCCATGCCAGGGGACCTTAGAGGGAGTTTAAAGGGAATTTGTGCCCACTTTGCACTGCCAGAACTGTGGAAAGGGGCTTTAGACAAGAGTCTCCCAACCAGACCCAATCGGTCGTCTCCTGTGTTACCAGCCCCCCACAGAGAGGGGTCTGGCCGTAGAGACCCGACCTTCTTTATGTTTCCCCACTGATGCAGGCTGTTGGTGTATTGACCCTTCCCTGGGCTTGGCTCCTTCCCCTCTCTCTTTCTAGTCGGGTTTGCTAGAGATTTAAGGCCAGAGAAATCTGGCCTTAATTTCTCTTGGCCTCCCAGTCTGTAAAGTGGGGAGAATCACTGGCCTCTCTCCCAGCCGTTGTCTGTCTTCATGTCTATGGCAAGCTCTGCGGGGCAAGGACGCTCCCTCAGACCCGTGGTCGCTCCAGGCCCTCAAGCAGTAGGGCCCTTGTCTCAGCGAGTGATGCTTTCATCCAAACAAACTGCAAGGGAGGCAAAAGACATGGAAAGAGGCCGCGCTGCTTGCTGTTTATACTTCAGCAACATCTGGTTCTTTTCCCAAGCTCCCTCCATAAGCCTTTTGACTCCCCGACATATTAGCGCTCCTGTCCCCTTTCCCCGCTCCACGCTAGTCCTGGGTGGTCTGTTACCGGCACTAGCAGCCGGAGCACCAGGAACTGTGCTTCAAAGAGCCCAGCTCCTGCGCCAACGGGCAGCGGAGTCTCTCTGGCAGGTGGGAAGTTTAACATCCCCCCCGCCCCGGCCTCTGTCGTCACAAACTCATGAAGAGTTTGCTCTTGGAACAAGGATCAGACCCGTAAACAGAGACTTCAGCTGCCGGTGGGAAGTGAAGAGGATCTGGCCTCAACCAGATTTTAACCCCGGGAAAGCAGAAGGATGACCCGTGGCTGGGTGGCCTGCAAGGACTGACCCCCTGGAGCTTAGAGCAGGATCACAGCCTCACAGCCTGTAGCTGACCCATCCATGGGCTAGCCACTCAGGGGGAGAGCAAGAGCCATGCACGGGTAGCCCAGGGCACCACAGCAAATCACTACATCAGCGGGTGAGCTGACTCTTCCTGGATTCCACGGGGCAGACAGCAGCCGGCTCCTCCCGGGACAGCTGAGCCCTGCCCCAAGCTGTGACACTAGACACCAGAGAGAACCACAGGGTTGCTGTGGGTCCAGCAGCCTCGCTGGACCCTGCCCCCCGACCAACTGATCAGTCCAGTCCCCTGCTGGGAGATGATGTCAGAGCTGCAAAGTGGAACCTGTGCAGAATGCCTTCACCTCCAGAAGGAAGTCCCGGGGTGGCTCATTAGCCCCTCCCAGCGAGGTTATGGGACAGGCTTTGAGTGTCCGAGTAGCACGGGCCAGACAAGGGGTCGCTGTGGATGCTTCTGGCTTAAAAAACAAAAAAAGTCCATGGAAAACCAGAGGGCTGCAACCCCTCCCCAAATGAAACTGGAAACATCTTATATTCAATACAAACCTCCTGCAGTTTGGACTTTTCATCCCCAAATCTCCCCCCCCACACCCCAATTACTGTCACAGCCTTATAAACTGGATTCTAAATAACACGTCCACTCCACAACAATACAGTCACTCAGGGCCTGGATCTCAGATACTACTCCCCGCAGTACAGCGCCCCCTACTGCCACCCAGGGGTCAGCACGGACTCACTCCCCGCAGTACAGCGCCCCCTACTGCCACCCAGGGGGTCAGCACGGACTCACTCCCCGCAGTACAGCAGTTTGTCCTGCGTCCCAACCGAAGCACAGTCGGGACGCCATTTGTCCCGATATTTTGTTTCGGGCACAATTTTTTCCCCCTTAGGCAGTGGCGACAGGCCGGGGGAGCGCTTTTTCAATTGTTACACTCACCCGGCATGCCCAGGTCTTCGGTGGCACTTCGGCAGTGGGTCCTTCAGTCGCTGACGGGCTTCGGGGGCGGGTACTTCTTTCTTCACCGGCGGCGGTCCCGATATTTTGTATTTAGCATCTGGTCACCCTAACTGGGGTCAGCACGGACCCAGCGTGCCCCACAGCACCCCCTCTGGCCCTGCACTCCGCACTGACCGCAGAGCGGACCCCTACGGAGCCACCCACACCGCCTCACGCAGCACGCTGGGCTGCCAAATACAGCAACGGCTGAAAAGCACCCGTCCACTTTCCATTTGCCGATGAGCTCATTGGAGGCTCCTCTTTGCAGGATCGTAGCTGGCAACACTACCAGCCTCCTGAATCGTGTAAGCAACCAAGACACCAGTTAAAAATTCAGAAGAGATTTCTCTTGAGGAGATTGTTTTGACTCGAGTGAATCCAGCACACACACACACGGAGGGTTGATTTTTTTAATTATTTTTTTAATACAGTTAAATCAACAGGAAACAATAAACCAATTAAAACTCCGTGTTTTTTTGGCGTTAATTAAAAAAAATTCCTCCCTTGCGGCAACATCTCTGGCTAAAGGTTTCTATTAATAGGCTTTATTGGCCAGCAGGTGTCTTAAAAAAAGAAGATTTTCTGTGGTCAGACTTTTTAAAAACCCAAACCTTCTGGGACTATTTCAGCATGCGCCAATCCCGGTTTTCCTCCTAAGATCCAGCCGGCTGGAGTAGATCTGCCGAATATTTTAAACACAAAGGCCAAGATGTTGCGGTGGTTCCTAATGGGTCTGCGGATCTATTCTGGAGTCCCCCGCCTTTCCCCCGCAAAATTAAATGTAATAAGGAGGCCGCATTTTATCAGCGGGCTGATGGTCTGTGCTACCCGTACATCGGACTCCTTTAAGGGAAGGCTCCAGTGAGGACCCCTGGAAAATGGCAACACCCCAAAGTCAATCATCCCTCTGGGAAATATCAGAGCCCCAAACTGTTTTTTTCCCCATCTTTTTTTTTTCTTTTTTTAATTCTATTTAATTACAAAGAACTCCAGCTTTGGTACAAACCTGCCACCTGCTTCTCTGCTGCCCTCTGACACACCCCAGATCCCTTTGCTGGAGTTGCTGGATACTCACATGTCGGCAGGCAGCAACGTCTGGGAGGCCTTGGGATTTGGGGAATGCTCACGTTCATCTGTTTTTCAGGGGGCGGGCAGGGAAGTGCCAGGACAGGGAACAGTGCTCCCACACTCCAAAAAAGTCTGGGAAAGGGCTGAACCCTGATGAGATCTCCCTCATTTCCAACTCCTTCCCCAGCCCCTTTAAACATCACATTTATGAGCCTTTTTTAGGTTTAATCGTTTCTTTTAAAGGGCCAGTAGAACCACTGCTTATAAATGCCCAGAGATGCTATGTAGGGCCATTCGCTGTATCTTTAAGGGATGCCGCCCGGCAGCTGTTCGAGAGCATTGAAAACAGACAAGGCTACAGCAGGAGGTCAGTTCCTTGCTCCCTCCCTTATGTTACACACAGTGTGGCTCTTCCCCAGAGTGGCTCGCACTTATCCTGGCTCAATGGCAACTCCGAGTCAACTGGGGTAAGCAATATCTTGCATAATTAACCAGTTCAGAGCCTGGGACATCCTTGACTGCTGGATCTTCCAGACATTGCTGCTGGGCACCACAGCAGAAGGGTTAAACCCTTCACCTCAACCTGCCAGGAGGCCCCTATAGTGTTGGCTTGTGCGTGTATTCGCACAGGCACATCTAGTGTGAGCTTCGTGCAACGTCACAGAGAATGGACCCAGACGGGAGGACTCATCCAGCTGGCATCTGACCGAACCAGCCAGGGGAAATGAGTGTTTGTCCTGGATATCAGACACCTGTGGCTTCCTCCCAAGATCTGATCAGCTCCCAGCCAGGGACGGCAAATAATCCAAACCCTTCCAGTCCCTCCCGCCCCGACAAACTAAATAAATAAATTAATTGGCTCGGGAAGCCGCGGCAAACTGGCCACCCCCTCCCCAGGGGAAGGAATAAAAAAGGAGCTGTGGATCAAAGAGTTAAAAAACATCCCATGAGCCCAATGTCCTGGGGCAGCTCGGGAACCGGGCCATGGTCCTGCTCCCCCTCCACGATTTGGTTTGTATTTGGTGCAGTTTTTCCCAGGGTCTCTTCCCTCTTTTGGCCAGGGAAGTCTGTGGCAGCAGCGTCAACCCCTTGGCAATGGGTGGGCGGAGGGGTAGGGGGGTCGGTGCCCCTCTCTAGCTGTCCAAGGAACTGCCCTCCCCGTCCTTGATCTCCTGGCTGCTCTCCACCTCCTCGGGAATGTCCTGCATCCTCGAAAAATCTGCAAGGAACCGAACACCCCAACTGATGAGTTCATGCACCAAGACGTCATTAATTCACAGACTAACACCCCCTCCCCAGAGCACCAAGTCTGCACTAGGGGCATGGCATCATTCAGCCCCAGACAAGGAAACTGAGGCACAAGTGGGGGGGAGGACTTGGCCAAGGTCACCCAGATCCCAGGACTCCTGACTTCCAGCCCCTCCTGCTTGAGCCACTAAATCCTCCCTCTTCCCAAGGCTGGGAACAGAACCCAGGCGTCCTGACTCCCAGACGCACCATTCTGGAGAAGGGTCGGGGAATTGGGTGTTCCATTGTAATGCTTAGGGACACCAGAGACTGCCCAGTGCAGGACAGGTCCCGTCCCCACATCTCATTCACCCATTTCCACGTCGGACCCTAGGCAACCTTGCTGTCCTGAAGCCGCAAAGCTCCTGCTAAGTTGCACAGGGACGAAATGGTCCCCTACGTCCACACGCCCGGGGCAGGATCAATCCCAGCGCCTCCCGCACCGAAAGTGCAAACTCCTGCACTTGAGCGAAGCATGCTGGTGCATTAATAGCTGGCTGTTGCCACGGCTGGGGGTGCCCCTAGAGGGTGACATCACCACACTGACCTCGAGGGCTGGGAGGCGGAGACGGATGGCTGGCCGTGCCCTCATCCTCAGACAGCGCCTCTAAGTCCTCGTCGCCCTCCTGCAGCTGGGCGGGGCCGTCGCCTAAGGGATGGTCACTTGGCAGCAGGCTCCCGTGGTTGCTCCCTCGGCTCTGCTGCAGAGAGGGAAAAGAGGAGTCATGTGAAAGCAACACCACGGCCCTGGGGGCGTCATCGGCAGCGGGGATCGAACACAGGACTTAGCGGCTGAACTAGGAGAGCCAAGGCAGGGCAGCCTCCTTGACATGGGTGTGTGGCCCAGCCACCACTAGAGGGGGACAGAGCGCCACGCGGAGTGGGCGTGGCTTCCAGCCCCACCCCCTCCAAACGAAGCCAGGTTGAACCGGGGCAGGGCCGCTCTAGGAACAGGAGGGCCAAGCACTCCACGGGTTTTGTGCCAAAAGATGGGAGGATCCTTGCGCCCCGGGCTCCCGAGGGGAGGGACCCTGCCAAGGATCTGGAGGGGGCGGTGCAGGGGGCGACCCTGCCCTGGGCGGGGGGCCAAGAAGCAGGTACAATGGGGTTGTGGGATTTATATAATTGTTTTAAAAAGGATGTGAGATTTTTTTTTCCAGCCCCAAATCAAACTGCACCCAGGGCTTTTTACATCCTCCTCCCGCCCTCGCTGTCTGGGACACCGCACAGACTGACCGGGGGCGCCAGGAACCAGAGGTGCCCTGTGCTGGGGGCAGGTGCTGAGTCTCCAGCAGAGGGAAACCCCAGAGAAGGCTCCCGGCCGCCTCCCCCTTTCAGCATGGGGGCAGCACGGCTGTTCTGGGAAGGGCGGCGTGTGAATTGCTTGGCTGGGGTTGAGAGCCCTGCGGACAGCAGGCCCCATTGGTTGATACAGCAGGGCGACCTCCCGCCCCAGCCCCGCCCTGCCAGGGACCAGCTTGCGCCACCCTTTTGCTGCCCCCGGAGCGGAGACCCACAAATGCCCTGAGGCTGGGTTACTCCCGACCCAGCGTGAGTCGAACCGGTGACTGAGGGGCTCCCTGCCGCGCCCCCGGCCCCCCCCCCCAGCCCAGCTGCCAGGCCTCGAGCAGCGGGCTCGCAATGCGTCCCCGCACCTGGCGCCGCCGTGCATTGTGGGTAACCCTACCTGGGGCGGGGTGAAGCTGAGATACAGGGCGTCCCCCGCGGGCAGGCTCCGCCGCCGAGGCTCCCCCCGCTTCCGGACCCACACCGCCTCGGTGGCGCCCCCTTCCGGCCGCAGCGTGGCCACCTGCGTGCGGGCCTCCTCCGCCTCGCGCTCCAGCTGGGCCCGCTCCCGCTCGCTCTCCCGCAGCCGTGCCTCCAGCGCCCCGGCCTCCTGTGCCTTCTCCTGGCACAGCTGGTGGCAGCGGCTCAGCTCCTCCTGGAGCAGGGTATGCTGCCTCTGCAGCAGCGCCAGCTCCGTGGCCTGCTTCTCCGGGGCCCTGGCCGCCTCCCCCGGCGCCCCCTTGCGGGAGTTGGCGCGAGGCGGCTTCTCCTGCCGGCCGCCCCCGTCGTAGAGGTGCAGCTCCAGGGCGGTGTCCTGCTGCACCACGGCAGCCTGGGGAGGGGAGAGGGCGTCACTGGGGCTCTCGCGGCCCCACGCTCAGCCGGACCTACAGGCCCCAGGGAGAGCAGGGGCGACCCCTAGGCTGGGATCCCGGCTCCGGCAACTCCCTGGCCGCCTCCTGCTGCCAACGCTGGTCTCTCGCGCTCATTCTGTACCTGTGGCAGCTCTGTACTCTGCCCCCCCCAGGGACAGCTGTGCCCCTGTCCCCAGGCCCTGTGCCTCTCCCTTCAGCCCCCTTCATCGGGGCTCTGGGCCTCCTCCCCGCTGGGGACTTCTCCTACCCCATCCCCAGTGCCCAGCTCTGCACCCCTCGGCCCTGGAACGCCTCCCTGTTTGCACTGAGCTCCACGCACCCCCTCTCCCCTCCCAGCGATTCTCCCCCCTCCTACCGCCATCCCTGGCGCCTGGTTCTCAGAGCCCTCTCCCCAGGACTCCCCCTCCCACCTCATGCCCTGCCCTAGGGGTCCCCCTACCCTCTTCCCTCCATGCTACAGCAGCTCTATGCTCTATGACTCCCTCTGCCCTAATGACAAACCTAGGCAGCAACAGGGGAACCCCACCCCCACCCATAGGGACATGCCTCAGCTCCCCACCAGGACGGATCCCACTGCACCCACCAAGGGGAACCAAAACCTTGCTTTACAGCTGGTGGGGAGCACAGCACGAAGTTCCCCCAGCCAGCGGACATATGGGATGGGAGGGAGGTTTGATGGTACAGACCTGCAGGCCATGGAGGAGGGCGTAGAGTGCCATGAGCCGGTGAATCACTTCCTGGGAAGGAAGAGAGCAATAAATCCGCATAAATAATAAATCAACAGCTCTTTCTAGCCGTAGATCTCAAGAGGCTTCAGAAAGGAGCTCAGTATCATTATCCCCATTTTATAGATGGGGAAACTGAGGCACGGGGGGGCAAATGACTGGCTCAGCAGGCCAGTGGCAGAGTTGGGAATAGAACCCAGGGCTCCCAGCCCAGGGCTCTAGCCACTAGGACACACTGCCTCCCCACAAATCCCCACACTCAGCACAGCTGTTTGGAAAACACACACTGAGTTACAGGGTGCAGAGCCAGGACTCCCCTCTCCTATTAACCCCTTCCCTCCAGCTGTATAAAACCCACCCCCACCCAGAGGCCGCCAGCCCCCGTACCTCATGGGGTACCTTCTGCTGCAGCTGGTTACCATTCCCATCCTACAGAGATAGAAGGCAGAGATTAGCCATGTGAAGCCCCCCACAGCCAGCACCCCTAAAGTAAATGTGTGTGTTACAGGCCCCCCTCTGTGCTGATCTACAGGGGAGACGAATCTGTCTCCCCTTGCGCTAGCTGTCACCCCCCGCCGTGGTGGACCCACTGGGACTGGCGCCCTGCCGGGGCAGAAAGGGGCTTACCCGCTGTTCGGAGTCAGCTCTGCAGAACTCCAGGGAGCCGTTGAGGCTGCTGGTCTCGCTGTCTGCGGAGGGAAGAGTGAGCAGATGAGACAGGCCGCGCTAGCCCCTTCCTGGGCAGAAATCCACCTGCATGTCACCGACGCAGGAGGTGCTGAGGGACTCGGCCCTTGCTACATCTAATTTTAGTGGATTGTGCTAGGTAGCACCCCCATAGGGGTCAAGAGACCATTGTGATCAGCCAATCTAACCTCCTGCATACCCGAGAACCTCACCCAGGGACGGCTGCATCTGGCCGGGCTGGAGAGGCACTTTCAGGAAGAGACCCCTGGTTTTGATGTAAAGACTGAGGCCTGGTCTACTGCAGGTTTCGCTGGCCGAGCGGTCGGTCCCAGGTGCGATCCCCAACCCAGAGCGCAGCCAGCAACAGACCCATGTGTAGACACAGTTATACCAGTACAAAAAGTCCATTTGCCGACAGTTCGGGGAAAATGGTGTATGCCTTTTGCGGGACCCCCACTAGGAGAATTGCCCAGTGGAGCTCTCCAGCATAGCTATACTGACAAGCCTTTCTAGTGTAGCCACGGCCCCAGGGGTGGAGAATCGCCCACATCCCTAGGCATGGTGTTCCAATGGTTAACGACCCACACTTAAGAATCTGCACTTCATTCCTAGCTAGGTCTCCCTTCAGCTCCCACCCATCGGCTCTCATTCGGCCGCTGGGTTAGACACCCTTCCTCCGTCACAAATCTCCTCCGCCCCGGAGGTGGTCCTGGGATAGGAACCCCGTCGCCCTCCATCTATTTCGCTTCCCCCAAAGAGCAGGGGCAGCTCCTTAGGCATCTCACTGCAAGGCAGGTTTTTCCAGCCCGTGAATCATTCCCGTCCTTCGCTCTAGAGGCCTCTCCTATCTTGCAAGATACACACAGTAGAAAAGGAGCTGGCACAAGTACAAAACACTGATCAGCTCCAGGGTCTACATGGGCAGCATCCAGCCCTGCAGCGAGTCTGCGCCACGCAGTGCCCCCGACAGGGCAGGGAGAAATCGGAAGGGAGGCCTCAGCTCATACTCGGGGTGTCGGAGCCGGAGCCGCCGTCGGGATCAGCAGGGTGGTTCTGGTCTCGGTCCCTCACGGCTCCCACGAAGAGATCCTTCAAACACTCCACTGGGGGAGAAACGCATGGTGAACTAGGGCTGGCAAGACACTGATATTCCCTATCCTTCAGCACCGTGAATCCTCCTGCAGTCCTGGGGTCTGCTAGCAATGGGGCTGGGGAGAGGTTGGGCACTAAACCGAGACTCGGGACACATGGGTTCAATTCCCAGCTCTGTCACCGACTCCCTGCGTGACCTTGGGCATGTCACTGCCCTGCTCTGTGCCTCCGTTTCCCCATCCGTAAAATGGGGAATTAGTACAAATGCCTCTTTCCCACCCTGTGTCTGTCTGGTCTATGCAGACTGCAAGTTTTGGCCGATCGTTCCCTGTTAGCACCGGCTGTTCTACCCCTGACAAGAGATGAACACTAGGAAGGGGAAATCTTCCTGCTTTGGGCCCTAAAACTCATCCTAATTAGAGGTTTGGAGGAGACCCATTGCGGGCAGATTATCCCACAACTGTCCACCAGAGGGAGTCCTCGCCCCTTGCTCTGAAGCAGCTGGTGCTGTCAATGTGTGAGACCAGATACCGGGCTAGATGGGCCCGGGGTCTGATCTGCTATGGCAGGAGATCTGGCAGGCTGGCCCTGCAGGAGGGAGGGCACTGAGAGTGGGGGGGTGTTTAGTCCCGTGGCATCGGGTACCTTCGCGGATGGCTTCATGGAGCAGCTTCTCTCCGCGGGGCCCATCCAATGACTCGGCCCGGAAAAGGCTGCGGGGGGTCGGGCAGGCTGGGGGGTCCTCGCATCCGCTCTGCAGGCTGAGCATTTCCGCAAACAGCCCCACCTTCTCCTCCAGCAGCTCAGTGATCTCCCGGTCCCGCTGCGCCATCTGGTCTGGGGAGATGAGAAGGGAGGGGGATGAATGACGGGGGCTGGCAGGGCAGCCTGGGCCGGGGTGGGGGTGGGGTTACTGCTGAGGTGGGGGGGAGGGTCGGTTATTTCTGGGCCAGGGCACACTGGCGGTGACTGCTGGGGTGGCATGGCGTGGGGTGGGACACAAGGGCCAGTGACTGCCGGGGACACACCGGGCGGCGAGGAGGGGGCAGTCACTGTGGGGTCAGGGCGACCCCCTACCTTTCAGCTTGCGCAGGGAGGCCTCGCTCTCAGTCTCGATCAGGGGGAAATCCTGGCGACTGGGGCACCTAGAGCAGATCAGCCGCGTCAGGGGCTGGAGCCACAGGCTAGAAATCCCCAGCCCCCCTCCCTCGGCACCCTCTGACTGCAGATCCCAAAGCACCACCCAGACACTAAGGGCTTGAGCTCCACCCACGCCCCTGGGGAAGAGGGGTGTCACGATCACTCTCCCCCCTGGGCCGCCAGGGATCGCGGCTCCCTTCGTGCCCGGTACAGCTTGCAGCACTCTCCCTGAGAGCGGGGAATCAGAGCCAGCTTAGTCTGCCCAGCCAGACGCTCCACAGATCCACCCCAGCGGTGCCCCCTCCATAGCGTCCAGCGCATGGGGATGGCTGCCCCCCGCCCGCCACCTTTCCCCACGGGCACCCCCTTCCCGCTGATGCCATCTTCACCCCTCCACTGGCTGCTCATGTTGGTCACCCCCATGCCACCCAGTAGCAGTCTGATAGCTTTTCCACTCCTCCCTCCCAACCCCCCAGAGGTCCCAGGGTTGCAGGCACCCCCCCACCCCATACCTCTGACACCTCCCTGCCCCACCTGCACTGGAGACAGGGAGTGCTCGCTGCTCACCCCCTGCCCCAGGGCAGGGAGACTCCCCCGGAACACAAGCTCCACCCGGGGCGTCACCACTTGGGCCAACAGCGGAACCAGAACCTGGAGCTTTTAGTGCTAAAAGCCCCAGCCTCTGACGCTTGAGCTGGAGAAGCGGCTCCCTTTGCCGGCAGCTATAGTAAAGCTTTTATCCTGCCCGTTCCGAACTGGAGGCAGACGGAGTCCCTCCCTCTCCCTCTCCCGCAGGGCGGGGGCACTCACAGGCGGACGGTTTGCTGGATGATCTTCATCCAGGTGTTGCGGTCGTCACGGGAGGCGGCGTGGACCTCGTACATCTCCGGCGGGGTGGCGCTGATCAGGAACATGCCCTTCTCCTGGTTGGCGATGTCCCGGACGATCAGGTTCTGCAGCGAGATCACTGCCGGCTTGTCCTGTGGGAGGGGGCGTGGCAGCCCATTAGGGGGGATGAAGGGGAATGGGGGGAACCCAGGGGTTCAGGAAGAGAGAAGCTGTGAGGACTGGCAGAGTCATTATCTCCTAGTGTTCCCCCGTCTGTCTGTCCATCTCCACCAGCTGTCTCTTGTCATACTTAGATGGGAAACTCTCTGGGGCACTCTGTGGTGTCCACAGAGTGCCTGGCCCAACGGGGGGCCCAGTCCAGGATTGGGGCTCCCAGACAGTACCGTAACACCAGATCCGTCCGAGGGGCAACACGCATGGGAAGGCTCACCCGTGCCAGCGTGGCTAAGACGACCCAGGAGCCGGGGCAATGCGAGCAGGTGCCCAGGGTCCCGGGCCAGCCCGTGCGGTCACAGCGGCACAGCTGGTCTTCACCAGGCTAGGGCGGGTAAAGCTCGGGCAGGTCTGTCTACCTGGACTGCAGGTCAGACAGAGCCGTGGGTAACGAAGCCGGACACAGCAGATCCACCGGAGCAACACGGTTATTGGTTCAGGCTCCGGATGGGACTCTAGACAGTGACTGTTCCCAGCTCCGCTGCTGACCCGCTGGGAACAGTCAATGTGCCTCTGTTTCCCCTCCCAGCCTTCGCCTTTTCCATGTAGATCTGAGGCAGGGACCGTCTCTCGCTGGGTCTGTGCGGCGCTCAGTGCAATGGGCCCCTCTCCACTGCCATATAAACAACAGCGATAGCCGCAAGGGAGCCGCAAGATTGTCCACAGGGAGCAAGGGAGCAGACGCAGAGACCACCGGGCCCAGGAGGGCTACGAGCCAGGCAGGTAACAATGCTTCGCTCACACAGGGCCTGCCACTGGAGATGCTCCCAATGCCAAGGAATTCACCCTCCCAACGGCCCCTGGGAGGGAGCGGGTCAGGATCACATCGGGTTTGTTTACAGCTGGGAGGCAGGCAGCTCAGGCAAGGGGCTCTCCTGCTGCAAGATGGGACCCAGAAGTCCTGACACCTAGCTGTGTGCCCTGAGCCCCAGCTAAGCCACCCCTTTTGCCAGGAGGCCCGGCTGTTTCGGAGCAGCCCTGTGGCAGAGGAGAAGCCGGAGAGACAGACGCGCTCGGACCAGCAGCAGCTCACCAGGGTGGGGAAGGTGAATTTCTGGTCCTTCTCCTGGAGCAAGATGAGGACGTCGGTCATCAGCAGCACCAGGACATCTGTGAGCAAGAGGAAGGACACAAGGGCATCAAGGCAAGGGGCCTGCGGGCAATGGGAACCTGCGACCAGCTGCTGCAGCCCGGCAGGTTCACTCAGCATCAGCCAGGCTGCCGCGGGAGAAGGGATGGAGCCTCTGCCGGCAGCAAAAGGAACCAGGAGCTGGGGCTGAGGGAGCTGGGCAGGGACACCCCAGGGAGCGGCCACACCTGGGAAGAGGCGGAGGCTGGTGCCCGTCATGGCTTCAGGCTGGGCTTCGGGGGAGTGGGGAAATTCAAGCCCACGTGGATGTGCCCGGGGGTGGGGGACGGAGCCTGTGCCGGGTTCCCCCCGGGATTCCCCCCTCGCCCGCACCTTTGAAGCGCCCGGCCGCCGTCTTCCACAGCAGGCATCCGTCGTGCACCAGCTTGCGACGCCATAGCTCCTCTTTGCAGAAGGAGCCGCTGTGGCCCTCCCAGGCCAGCTGGGCCTTGGACCGCCCGTCCACGCGCCCGTAGATCTCCTGCAGCCGCGCGTTCTTCTCGGACTCGTGCACCTCCTGGTCGATGGCCGAGATCAGGTCCTTGACCAGCGTCAGGGCCGTGCCCAGGTCCTGCTGATCCGCCTCGTTCCCTGGGGAAGGGAGGGGACAGCGCCAGGAGTCAGGGCGGCTCCTTCCCCAAGAGCTGAGCCGGGCAGGGCACGGCACTCCCCACGCCCCTAGCTCTGCCCATGTCCCTCGAGCCCGACCTGCAGCCCCCTACTATGCCCGCCCTGGGTTCCCCACGCCCCCAGCTCTGCCCATGTCCCTCGAGCCTGACCTGCAGCCCCCTACTATGCCCGCCCTGGGTTCCCCACGCCCCCAGCTCTGCCCATGTCCCTCGATCCCAACCTGCAGCCCCCTACTATGCCCACCCTGGATTCCCCATGCCCCCAGCTCTGCCCTTGCCCCTGAATCCCCCCCCAGCCCCTCCTCTCAGGAGCCCCCTCACCTTTGGAGTTCTGCAGGATGCGGTCGATGAGGACAGGGTACTTGGTGATCCTCTGGGTGACCAGCAGGATGCACTCCTGCACCCCATGCCGACGCAGCACCGAGGAGCGGGTCAGCCTCTGTTGGGAGGGGAGATGGGGACAAGGATCAGACGTCAGGTCAGCGCCCGGCCCATGGGCTTCCCAGCCTCGAGTCACCGCTCAGTCAGTGGCACGCTGCCCTACAGGCAGGATAAGCTCTGTGACCCCTCTATACAGATGGGGAAACTGAGGTTCAGAGAGGGGAAGGGACTTGGCCATGGTCAGCAGCAGAGCTGAGAACAGCAGCCAGATCTCCTGACCCCTCCCAGCGCCCGCTCCAGTCAATGGCTCTCCCCAGGACAGAGTCACGCCAGCCTCACCTCTGCCGTGCCCCAGGAGCCTGGCTCGCCAAGGTGGGACCAACCCACAGGAACAAGACCGAATTCCTGCCCTCCCCTGTGGCACCAGGGTCGAAAGGAGAGCTGGACCCCGTTGAGCCTCAAGTGCCCCCCAATTGCACTGGACAGCTTCACCAGACCCCAACCTATACCCCGCTGCAGCTCCGGATGGAGGCTGGGAAGGGACTCACCCGTATGAACTGCTGGAACCTTTTGTCCCGGGCAAACAGCTCCTTGTAGAGCTTCACAGCCTTGTTGTGCCGGCTGCAAAACTCCGTATAGGCCTTCTTCATCTGCTCGGCGCTGGGGCCGGAGAACTGCGGGGAGGAGACAGACGGTCAGGCACCGTCACCAAGCGCTGCTGCAAAGAGCCGTGAGAACCAGCACACGCAGGGCCCGCTTCCCCCTCCCCCGCCACGGAACTGCGGCCACCTCTGGGGGGCAAGAGATCCGGCCGCTGCTTGCACAGTGCAATGACGCCAACAGCTGGGACTGTGCACTGATCTCCCCCCTCACCCCCCCGCTCTGGCAAAGAGAACTGCCGGGGGGGGGCCCACTAGGGAGGCAGAATGTTAATTAGTGGAGTTAACACCCTGACTTGTGCCGTGAGCGCGTTATCGCAGCCCAGCGCCCCCTGCTGGGTCCCTGCCCTGGGCCTGGCGGCACAGCGCCCCCCGGCACCACACTGGGGAAGCGCAGTCAGCGCTGACCGGTACAGACAGTGCCCCCCTCCCCCCCCGGCTGAAGCCCACACATTCCCTGCAGCACGGCGCCCCCTAGTGGCTACGGCACAGCGGCCACCCCACTGACTCAGAGGGCAGAGCGCCCCCTGCTGAGCTCCCCACCCTGCTCGCTGTAGCACGGCGCCCCCTAGTGCCATGCTGGGGCATTGCGGTCAGCACTGACTCAGAGGGGAGAGCGCCCCCTGCTGAGGGCCCCCCTCGCTCCAGTGCCCCTGGGTCTCCCATCCGGCCTTTGCCCAGCCTACAGCTCCCAGCTGGCGGGGGGGGAGGGGGGGGGAGTGTCCAGGCAGAGCGAGCCCCACCCCCTCCCACCTGCTGGATCAAGATGTCCCCCAGATGGTGGATGACGAAGTTCTTGTTGCTGTTGGTGGCCAGCGACTCCTTGCGCCGCTCCAGCAGCTGCACGAGGAAGCGGTCGTGGATCTCGCTCAGCTCGTCCACGCAGGGGAACATGCTCTGCACCAGGGCCGGGTCCATCTGCAGGTCCTCCAGCATCCCCTTGCGGAACATGTTGATCATGATCTTCAGGGTGCGGACGTGATGCATCTCGGTCTGGATCAGCTCTGGGGACAGGCGCGAGATGGGGAGATGAGAGGCAGAGCCAGGAACCCCAAGGCAGCCCCCCAGGGGCAGGGGCAGGTGCCCCAAGGCCATGTTCATAGAATCATAGACTTTAAGGTCAGATGGGACCATTATGATCATCTAGTCTGACCTCCTGCACAGCGCAGGCCACCGAATCTCACCCACCCACTCCTGTAACAAACCCCTGACCTATGTCTGAGCCACTGAAGTCCTCAACTCGTGGTTTAAAAACTTCGAGGTGTAGAGAATCCTCCAGCAAATGACCGTGTCCCACGCTGCAGAGGAAGGCGAAACACCCCCAGGGCCTCTGCCAATCTGCCCTGGAGGAAAATTCCTTTCCGACCCCAAATATGGCGATCGGCTAAACCCTGCGCATGTGGGCAAGATTCACCAGCCAGACACCCAGGAAAGAATTCTCTGTAGTAACTCAGATCCCACCCTAACTAGTGTCCCATCACAGGCCATTGGGCATATCTACCACTAATAGTTGAAGATCAATTAATTGCCAAAATTAGGCTATCCCATCATAACATCCGTTCCATAAATTTATCAAGCTTAGTCTTAAAGCCAAATAGGTCTTTTGCCCCCACTGCTCCCCTTGGGAGGCTGTTCCAGAACTTCACTCCTCTGATGGTTAGAAACCTTCGTCTAATTTCCAGTCTAAACTTCCTGATGGCCAGTTTATATCCATTTGTTCTTGTGTTCACGCTGGTACTGAGCTTAAATAATTCCTCTCCCTCCGTGGTATGTTACATGCCCACAGAGGACCAGACTCCAATCCAGCCCCCAGCTGGGCAGCCTGCCTCCTTAGCTCCAGCCCCTGCGGCTCCCTGGTTCTGGCGCTGGGACGCCCCAGTGAATCAGCTGCTCTGTAACGACCCACGGGGCTGGATCCATCCTCGCCCAGCCCCGTAGCCGAGCCCAAGGTGGGGGTAAAATCACCATCGTCCCGGCTTGGCTTGGCCTTGCGCCCAACGTCGCGAGCAAGCGGGAATCAGGCCTCTGCATTGTGAGCTCCTGGGGTCAGGGACGGGAGCTTTATCCCCTGAGGGCCACTCACCTTCAAAGCACGGGGTGGGGGGGAGGTGGATAGAACCCAGGAGTCCTGGCCTGCGCACAGCCATCTGCTCAGCCCCTCCCCGAGCAAGGGTGGAGTAATAAAGGGTCCCCAGCCCACGCCCTGACCCACCGGGGCTGCCCAGCCTGGGAATGGGGAGGAGCCACGTGCTCCGGGGACAGGAACGGGCAGGGTGGGGTGCGGAGCTGCGTCCCGGCCAGGCCCAGGAGCGCGCAGGGGGCCAGGGCTCACCGTAGATGACGTCCTGGCGCTTCATCACCTCCTTCTTGTGTTGTTGCAGGTAGTTGTTGTCGACCGCCAGGCTCCAGGAGTCGGCCGCAAAGTCCTTCTCGTCCGTCTCGAAGTTGCTCATCAGCTGGTTGTAGATGACCGTGGCCCCTGGGGCGGGGAAGAATGGCCAGTCAGGGGGAGCCTGTTCCGAGGGGTGAAGTTCCCCCACCCCACCCGGGGGGGTGGGGGATGTGTGCACAGAACAGGAGAGCAGGGGGCAGGGCAATGCTCCCACCCAGCACCGGGCTCTGCCCTGCTCTGGCCAGCACATCGGGGTGTTGTTTCAGAACTGGGGTCCCGCAGACAGAATCACATGCTATGTTCTATTATACCCTGAGAAGGCGGGGGGTGGAGAGGAAGTGGAGCATACGGGCCTATGAGAAGTCCAGAGGGCAATTGCCCCCTTTGCCCCATTGCATAGCCCAGAACCCACCGCCCCTGCAGTGCTAAGGCCCGCCACCTCAGGTCTCCCACCGACGCTACCCCACCCGATAGCGGATCCGAGCGTCACTACCCCACCCGATAGCGGATCCGAGTGTCACCCAGATGTGCCCCGCCTAGAGACCGAGGGAGCCTGGCAGAGGGCTCGCACCTTCGTCGATCAGCGACTCCACCGACAGTGTCCGGTTGCGTATGTTCAGGGAGTCGGTAGACTGGGATAGGATGCGCCGGAGCCCCAGGGGCGACTCGTCATTGAAGTTCCTGGAGGGAGATGGGGGGAGAATCCCGGGTCAGAGAAAGCCCCCCAGATGGGAAACAAAAACACGGCAGCTCCTGGCCACGCACTGCGCCAGCCATCACCACACAGACAGTCAATTTCCCACAGCTGGGAACCCAGGCGCCGGGAGGAGACAGTCAGATGGGGGAGCCAGTGGCAAAGCCGGGAATGAAACCAGGAGTCCTACCTCCCAGTGCCCTTGCTCTGATCACTAGACCCCGCTCCTGGCTCACAGCTGAGAAAAGAACCCAGGAGTCTTGATTCCTGGTCCCGTGCTCCAACCACCCGACCCCGCTCCCCCTCTTGCCCCAGCACTTACCCTGCAATGTTGGTGGTGGAGACGCTTTTGGAGAGGGACAGGGTGGGCCGCCCCCGGCGGGAGCCCAGCAGGGTCTGGCGGAAACTCTCGGAGGGGTAGATGGCCGAGTTGGGACGCTCCCTTGTGGTCGCTGCAAAGAGAGGGTGCAAACGGGCGCCGTGAGCTGGGGCACCGGGGAAGGGTGGGTCCCATTGGTGAGCCCACCCCGGCACGGCCTGACCATTTGCCGATGAACAGCATGGGCCACGCCAAGGCGTCAAGAACCAGATCACAGCACGTGGGTCCCCACTGTGCAGGACCCGGCCAACGCATCCACCGCAGTAAATACTTGGGGGCAGCATCCATGCTAGGGACCCAACCCTGTCCAGTGCAGCCCATGGTTCCCCGAAGCTGTTTCAGTAGCCATGCCCAGCAGGCGCGCTCTCCCCTGTTCCGGGAAAGGGAGTGGGGACTAGTGGTTGGAGCAGGTGGCTGGAGGAGAGACTGGAAAACCAGAAAGAGAGAATGTTTGGGGTCCCAGCTTGGCACAAGCTCAAGGCCTCTGCTTTGCCCCCGCTGTCCACGGTGCTTATCTGGCCCCCATCACCACAGGGCCTGAGCATCTATCCTGTGCCAGGATCCCCACTGCACTGCTGGGGGACTGAGGTACAGAGAGTTAGGCCCTTGATTTTTAAAGGTAACTCCCGTGGGAGTTAGGCACCTAAGTACACTCAGAAATCTGGCCCTCAGCAACTAGCCTAAGCGCAGAGTCTCCAGCAGAGCAGGGAATTGAACCCCAGGCTAACAAGTCCTAGGTTAGTCTCTAAACACCAAGCCACCTTCTCTCGTCTTCACCGCCTGTTCCTGGCACGGTCAGGCAGCTCGGCCTAAAGCCTAAGGCCTTCGTCTGCAGCCAGATTAAAAGAGCAGCCGAGCAGCAGCCATTAGCTCACATTCCATCTAAATTACATTAAAACAATGTAAGATCCCCCATCCTAATGGCCCCCACTATTATCAGATAAAGAAACATATCTTAAGATGGCTAAAGAAAACTTAGTTTGACAGCATCCTGTCTGTCAAGGAATCACTTAACAGCTGTGGTTGTGAAATCCTCATTTCTTTACCGTTTTGTCGTTATGGTCCCCACTTCCCTATTCGCAAAAAGAAAAGGAGGACTTGGGGCACCTTAGAGACTAACCAATTTATTTGAGCATAAGCTTTCGTGAGCTACAGCTCACTTCATCGGATGCATTAGCTCACGAAAGCTTATGCTCAAATAAATTGGTTAGTCTCTAAGGTGCCACAAGTCCTCTTTTTCTTTTTGTGAATACAGACTAACACGGCTGCTCCTCTGAAACCTGTCACTTCCCTATTGTTTATCTGTATGGTCTCTGTCTGGTTCTTTGATTGTTTCTGACTGCTACATAATTAATTTTGCCAGGTGTAAATTAATTAAGGTGGTGGGGTAGGATTGGTTCAAGAATTTTGTTATACTATGTTAGGATTGGTTAGTAAAATTTTAGTATAACGATTGGTAAAAAAGGACTCGAATTTCACTATATGAATTGGGGTCCAAAAGGAAGGTCTTTGGGTCCCAACTCCAGGACACAGCCCCAAGATCAGAGCTGCCAGACCTCAACACTCTGCCAATGACACCGTGCAGAAACTGGAGTTCCCTAGTAGAGGACCTGATCCTGACTGGCCATCAAGAAAAGTTCATCTGTCTTATTGGGAGTGGTGAGCACTAGGTGTGTAGCACGTGCGGTCTGGCTTTGGGGATTGTTAAGAAATAGAGGTTATGTAGGATATTACTGGGTAAGGCTCTTTCACTGGTAAAAGACTCTGTAAACCCACAAAGGATTAAGTCCAGAGTCCACAGGGAAAGGGTGTTTGTCCGGAGCCCACAGGGGAGTAGAGTCCTCGGGGCGTGTGGGAAAGTCTGGCCCCAGTGAAGTCAGTAGGAATGGTGCTACCAATTCCATCCGGGCCAGGATTTCACCCTCTGCGTGTGGTGCTGAGGGGCCAGCACCCCAGCTGGCGTGGGCGGGTTTAACTGCCTGGTGGGCAGCTCCACTGGCACAGAGTGGGGAGGGATAGCTCAGTGGTGTGAGCATTGGCCTGCTAAACCCAGGGTTGTGAGTTCAATCCTTGAGGGTGCCATTTGGGATGTGGGGCAAAAATTAGGGATTGGTCCTGCTTTGAGCAGGGGGTTGGACTAGATGACCTCCTGAGGTCCCTTCCAACCCTGATATTCTATGAACCCTCCTCGGGACGGTTAAGGTCTGGTGGAGTCGAGAGCCAGCTCCAAGCACTGCAGACCCCGGGAACTTCACAGCCCCCCTGGAGAAACGACCTGGTGGCATTCTCCAGAGCTGCCTGCAGGGGAGGCTGGATGTAATCGCAGCAGATCATTCAAGAGGGGATCTACATCCTAGGCGGCATGGAAAACCTCTCTCCTGGGGAGAAAGCCATCTCCACTGCCTCAGGGTGCAGGACCCATGTCAAGCCAGGAGGGGGCAGCGTAGCCCCATCACTGGAGAGCACCTGGGATTTGTTAGCAGCTCCATGCAGCCCTTGGAGAGGGGGTGCCATGGGACCAGCCCCACAGGGGGCAGACACCCTGCAGGGCTCAAGGGGTGTCAATCAGGGAGGTAGAAGCCCCGTGGCTGATGGGCAGACACATGCATGCAGCATCCTTCCCCATTTCAGCTCTCCCCCTCCCCCCCAGGGCATTCAGTGGAGACCCCTCCCTTTCCCCAGGAGAGCTGAGCCTTGGGCTGGGACCCCCAGCTGGCGCTCTTGCAGCAGGCCCAAGGGGAGGCGCCAAAGAGCACCGAGGCCAGGAGGCGTCGAACCCTGCTAGACCAGCCCTGAGGCTTGGGTAGGGGGCAATTCAGTCCGGCATCTTCTGCCGTGGCTCATCCCTGTGTGAACTGCCCTTCTCTGGGAGACAGGCCCAGAGGCAGAACCAGCCCCTGATGCTGCTGCGTCAGAATTTCCCTCTCCTAGATCTCAGGGCCACAAGCGACCAGAGTGTCATCTGATGCGACCACCTGCAGAGCTCAGGCCAGGGGTACTACCCAGGACCGCGCCCAGTTGGAAAACCGAACCCCTTTTCATTTCCCCGAACGCCCCTTGTGCCTGGAACGAGGCAGGCTGAACGCAAGCTCCTGATGCATCTTCTCTAACCCTTTCGCTTTTCGACCTCTTTTAGATCCTGCCCTCTCCACCCGAGGGAAATGATCCCAGCCTCCTGCCAGGTTCTTGTCACTTCTCCCACAGCCCCTCTAACTCTGGTGTGCTCCCTTTGTGATGGGGCGATCGGTGCCGCGGGGGTGGGGGGAGGGGAGCCCATTGATTTATATAAAAGCATTCGGCTCTTTTCAATATTACTCCCCATCCTTATGCAGCCGAACGCTGTGTGCGTGTCACGGGCACCTCAGCTCAGCAAACGGGGCAGGAAAGCCACGCTGGGTCAGTTTGCCGTGTCCTGAAGGGCTGATGCTCAACATGGGGCTTCAACACCGCCCTGGTCACGAGATAATGGCGTGGTTATTGCCTCCCGCTGCTCAGATTCTGATCAATAGCAGCCGTGGCAGCTTCCTCTCCGGATGGCCCAGAGCACTTTGCGAACTACACACAGCGCTGCTGGAATGCGGCCACCTCTGGGGCGGGCAGCTGCCAACTGGAACGCAGCACGCTGCGGTGGGACGTCTGGAGTCAACGGGACTAAAGCAAGCTCTGCCACTAGGCCACAGGACCTTTCGTGGCCACCTTTGGACTCCTCCTGGCAGACATCTGCATATGGAGTAACGTGCATGGAACAATTTATTTCCCTGGGGCAGACAGAGGTCTGGGATGGCCCAACTGGGATCCGAACAAGGGGGTGTGGGAAGTCCAGGGATTTCGAACCTGAGGATTGGAAGCCTAGGCTGCCCCTCCCCATCCTGCTGCTTCGAGATGGAGAGTCAAAGGGACAGGAACTCCACATGGAGCGCTCACGTAAGGGGGGGACAGAGAAACACGGCCAGCTTTGGCACTGCAGCCCCAGGCTATCATGAGCCATTGACTCAGCCCTCTTCAGCACCATCACTGGGAGTAGAGCCTAGGAGTCCTGACTCCCAGTCCCCTGCTCTAACCACTTGTCCCCCCTTCCTCTCCCACAGCTGAGAACAGAACCTCCAGGTCCTGTCTCAGAGCCCCTTGTTCTGACCCACAAAACCTCACATTCCTTCCCAGGGCCAGGAATAGAACCCAGGAGTCCCGACTCCCATCTACCTGCTCTAACCCCTGGCCCCCACACCGTCCCAGCCCCCCTTGCTCTAACCAATAGACCTCGCTCACTGCCCACTAATCCAATTCCTTTAATAGAAGCAAATCGCTCCCGGCCCTCACCAGCCACCCCGGCACTCGGCCCCCTCGAGGGGCTCTTCCTTCCCGGCTCAGGATTTCTGGCTCACTTACTCTTGTTCCGCAGGGACACGCTCTGCAGCGCCGAGTTGTTCTTCAGCAGGGCGGCTTTCTGTTGCTGGGGGCAGAGGGAGAAAGGGGGACGAGCCAGGTTATCGCCCCAAGGTTTTGGTGACAGAACGGGCGTGTGCGTGCACACACGCACTCTTCCCCGCCCCCCAGCTAACTTAATGTTGCATTTAGTGCCGCTGAAAGAAGCTGCGTTCACAACGCTAGAGAGTCCCCTGGGGCCAATGTTTAAAGGTATTTAGGCGCCTCCGTCCCATTGATTTCACAGTGGGCGCAGTGGGGCGAGCATGTGGGGCACGCTTCCCCCACAGAGTGCCCTCTGCCTACGAGCTGCCGTCCTGCCCTCCAGAGGGGAGAGCACAGCTCAGCCCTTTCAGTCCGTGGCTTCCCAGCTGATTTGCACAATCAGCCAGCTCCTTGCACGAAAGGGAACCACCAATGCAGACTGGAGCTGGCGATCTGGTGGTGAACATAAGAACGGTCCTACTGGGTCAGACCAAAGGTGCATCTAGCCCAGTGTCCTGTCTTCTGACAGTGGCCAGTGCCAGGTGCCCCAGAGGGAATGAACAGAACAGGGAATCCATCCTGTGTCGCTCATTCTCAGCTTCTAGCAAACAGAGGCTAAGGACACCATTCCCTCCCACCCTGGCTAATAGCCATAGGTGGACCTGTCCTCCATGAACTTATCTAGTTCTTTTTTGAACCCTGTTATGGTCTTGGCCTTCACAACATCCTCTGGCAAGGAGTTCCACAGTTGACTGTGCGTTGTGTGAAGAAATACTTCCTTTTGTTTGTTTTAAACCTGCTGCCTATTCATTTCATTTACTCACGCAGTGCTCAAGAGAGGTGATGGGGGACCCCCCTCCCCCCAGGTCCCAGCCCCTAGGGCTGCTCACCTTCTGCTTGACCTTGGTGCAGTTGGGCAGGGTGTCCTTGCAGCGGTTGTGAATGGTGACATTGCAGGCTGGAAGAGAAGGAGAGGCGAGTTTAGACCGGACACCAAAGTAATAGCACTGCCCCATTCCTAGCTCACTTTAAGGACCTCATGAAAACCCCCTGAGATAAGGGTTGAGCTGGCATTATGGCCTAGTGGTTAGAGCAGGATTCCTAGGTCCTACACCTAGCCTGGAGTGCTGTCTAGAAGGTTTAGAACACAATTCTGGGAGTCAGGACTCCTGGGTTCTCTTGCTGGCTCTGGGAGGGAGCTTTGCCTAGTGGTCAGATCAGGGGCAGGGAGCCAGGAATTTGGTTTTCTATTCCCAGCTTTGCGCTAATTCACTGTGGGGTGCTAGGCAAGTTGCTTAACCCTCCTGGGCCCCCAACTAGTAAAACAGGGATAACAATATATCCAGGGCTCTAAAGCACATGGATAGCCACAAGTGAAAGGTGCCGGTGCAAAGTTTGTTATGGTTATATACTTTGTCCACCACTGAAATGCAGCCACCTCTGGGGTGAGATGCAGCAGCTGTAACCACACAGAGAAACACAGGGCAACGCCGCTTCAGGGCTAGGGCTGAAGAAAAATCACATTCAGCTGAAACTGCGAGGAGACAGAACGTAGGGAATAGAAGTGGAATTTAGCCAGCATCTGAGGGGTTAAAGCTCTTCTTAGTTATATAATGGGACCTGATCCCAGGACTCCATTGTGCTAGGTGCTGTATGTACACAGACAGTCCCTGCCCTGAAGAGCTCAGGATCTAAACAGAGGATGGGAGGGGAAACTGAGGCACTGAGCAGGGAGGAGACTTGCCCAAGGTCAGGGCCAATGCTGGGAATTGAACCTCGACCTCCTGAATCCCCACCCAGTACCATAACCACAAGGCCATGCTTTTGCCCTAGGGCAGGGAGTGCAGAGGGATCTTTAACGACCCACCCTCACTCAGGACCTCAGCATCAGAGCTCATCAGGAGGGTGCCGCGTTATTCTGCAACCTCCCCTCGGAAAGGCCGAGCCAGGCCTGTGCTGCTCTGCCCTGCCGAATGTCGACATCCGGCGGTTTCCCACCATGACCCCATATCATCCACCCTCCCCTGCTGCGGATCTGATCCGCCCAGCGACACCGCCGCACCCTGGCCATTTGGCTGCTGCCACAGCCTGTTCCCACCTCCTGCCTGGCGCTACCCAGGCACTGAGCGCCTGGTGGGCAGGGGTGTCTCAGGACGGAGGCCACGGTGGGGAAGACGAGGGTTCAGGCTCTGGCTGGAAGCTCCCCACCCTGTGAGTGGATGAGTAGAGCTGGCAAGGCCTGGTGTGTTGCAGACCCCGAGCCTTCGCGCTGAGCAACGATTTCCTCTGGCCCCAGACAGAAGGAGCTTCTCATCTCTGGACACACCGGAGACTCTCCACCATAAAGGTGCCCATCCCTGCGGTATCTGGGCATGCTCCACGTAGGCTCCCATTTAGGCTTTAGCAACCCAGTCAGGCCTGAATTATACCCTCCAGGAGCTGCAAACCCTGTCATCCCTGCTGCGGCTGGAGAGCACTGTTCCCAAGAGGGGCACGTTGCCAGCTGGGGCAGGAGACTCGGTACGCCTCCTGGAAAGCCTCTGCCAGCTGCTTATGGATCCTCATGTGCAACTGACCCTCCCCCCGAACAAGGGAGGGTGAGGGGTGTCACCACCATCTGCACTCCCCGCCGCCCCCGCGTGGAGGGGGGCACTCCCCTTGGAATGCTTGGCACCGGGGTGGCACTGGCTGCAATCTGCAGCTCGCCGTGCCAGGGCTTGGGGCTAGGCGAGTGACACCTGGTTTGGAGAGGCCCCCGTCCCCCGCTGCCAAGCAACAAGCCTCGGGCAGCCTCCCCACCCCTGCAGGGTCTGGGCACCAGATGGTGAGCGACGGGCAGGGATTCAGCGCTCGCGCCAGATGGGTCCCCCTTGCCATGCCACTTGCCGAAGACGCAGGCGATGGAGGCGCCGGGTGCTTTACAAGCCTTCGTGGCCAGTGCCCCAGCTCAGATTGCCTGGAAGGTCTGTGCAGGGACAAGTGTCCATGTAGTGGGGAGGGGCTAGCAGGACCCTGGGGAGAGACTCACCCACCAACGAGCAAACCTAGCCCCCTTAACCCAGGCCACAGACCGCTCTTATCCCCTGCAAAGTTCGCTGCCTTCAACGGGTATGAATCTGGCCTCCGGTGTGTATTGTAAAATAAGAGGCAAGTAAGGACCTTTCAGGGGATGTGGTGGACCGGGAGCCAGGACTCCTGGGTTCTCTGCCCAGTGCCATTGCTGGGCAAGTCACTTCTCCCTCCCTGTGCCCGCTGTGAAATGGGGACAAGACGGTTGAGCTTGGATTAGTTAGGGGATAAGATTTACCCAGAGCAGGAGGTTGGCATAAGCTCTCATGCTCCATGCTTTACTTGCCGGGTGTCTTAGGTAATACGACTGATGCACTGGGGTGAAACTGACCCCAGTGTTTATCAAGCACTTTCAAGGCCCTTGTACGGGTTACAGTGGTTGAGGGCAAATATCAAAACCACCTCTAAGTCCTTATTGAACAACAGAGGGAGAATTTCGATAAGCAGTTACCCTCTTGCACTAGCCAGTGAGTGTCTGTACACTGAGCGATTGGGATCCGAAAGGTGCAAGAGAAAAAAGGTGGGTGTCCTTCGATACTTTGCCAGTGACAAGCTGCCATCTCTAGGGTGGGATGCCGCAGGGCAGAGTCACACCACGCAACACCCCAGCAGGGCTCTTCCGGACCAAGAATGTGTTCAACTGAAACGGCAGGGAGAATTTAGGGGGATGGGATGTTGCGGCATCACCAACCCCAAGCATTCAAAAATCATGAGTCAGGACCCCCCAAAAATGAGATTTTTGTAAAAGAAAAAACAACCAACCAATCAAATGTTGGCTTCTTTCAATTGGTCTTCTGGTTTCCGAACCTTTCGGATTCACATTTTCAAACTTTTCTCTGCAACCACAAGCGCTAGAAATTATTTATATTTGAAATCAAAGTCGAGATTCACATGACTCCAGCAGCTGGCGCTTTAAGCCAAAACACCCACTACCATGATAACTGGCAACAGCAGGAAAGAGACTTAAATACAAATGTTTCCCCTGGGTTTCCAAGTTCAGTTGGATTGCGAGAATTCCCAGCCAGTTCTCCAGGGATTAGCTGTTGAACAGAATTCCTAGAACAAGTTAAATTCTCTCCACTTTGCCCTGCCTGTGATTTTTCGCTAAATGGATGGTAAATTATCCAGCCAATGATGCAATCCATGCCTCAAACGTTCAGCTGTCCTCAGGAGCAGATTAGAGAAACAGACCTCTGGAACCTAGCACCATGTCACTGAAAAAAAGTGGCGGGAGGGGAAATCTGACTGCTCTGGATTTCAAAAAAATAAACATTCTAGCTCTTTGCAGTGATTCAGTTTGAAGCAGACCCATCAAACTACTTTAGCCCAGGCTAAAGTTCCAACTCTGCTAATTACTTTCTGCCTCCATAAATTCTCCTTGTAGCTTCCAACATATATTTTTTTTTAAAATGTCCTGTGCTAATCTGTCATGTTGTTGTGTGCTGTTAACACTTGCCACATTCCACACCAGAGGTGGCTGCATTTCAGTGGGAAAAACATTCCCCCTGCAGGTGGCCTAAAGAGCTCTGGGATCCCTGGTGAGGAGTAATAGGTGACAAAAGCCCTGGACGGGACCTACTCTAAATTTTATAACAATCTGGCAGGAAGACCGTGAAACTGACATAGCTCCTAGTCATGCTAGTCCGAGATCCAAAGCCATGCTTGATAGCAGCCAGGGGGATTGGGGGCCCACCCAAACCTGTGAGCCAGCACTCTGTAAATGGAGAACTAACAGAGGGTCCTGCATGTGACTGGGTGAGATCACGGGCCAGCTGAGGCTATTGTGAAGTTCAAGCCACAGATCCGTGGCCAAGCTGCTACAGTGTGCATTGCTGGGCCTTTCCGCCCGCCAGAAATAACTACCATTGGTCAGATGCCAACCCTGCTTTGCCACCGCTCATCTGAGCTGCTCAAACACTTTACCCACAGGGAATTACGCCTTGACGCTGGGGCAGGGGCAGATAAGACACAAACACCAAGTCACTGGTCTACGGTCACACAGTGAGTCAGAGGCCAGTTCAGGAATAGACCCCAGATCTCCAGACTTCACGTCCCATGTTTTAAAAATCACAAAACCATCCTCCCCTTCTCATTACTGGCTTGTTACGATTTGGTTGTCAGGTGGGAGGAAGATTGCGTCCCGGGCAGCTGCAGCCTTGAAGAGTCAGGTAACATTTCAAAAGAGGCAGATGGCAAATACAACCTAGCCTTTGATGTGAGGGGACCAGAGATTGCAAACAAAAAAACTCCTAAAACTCACACACACCCCCTTATAAATACAGATCAGGGAAAAGATGATTTAAAAAAACAACCACCAGACACCCCAATTCTCCCAGAGCTGATGAGTCAGGACAACAAAGTGGTGGTGGGTGGGGGTGGGGGGGGAGGAGAGAGAGCTGTGTCCCAGAGCTGTGTCCAAGGGGCCTTCAGGGCATCCAACTCAGGCCCGTCGTGGGCTGCTGCGTATGCACTGCGTTCGCCATCGCATGGCACTCTTTACAGAGAGCACACCCTATATGCAGAAACAGCAACCTGCTTGTTCTCAGAGGGACACTGGTTACACACACACACACACACACAGAAGGAGGCTTGATTTTAGGATATATTTTGCCTTTTGTGTATTGCACGCACACAAATTTTAAACACATCACCTGGTCAGGGTCAACTTTTGGGGCAGATGGGGGGGGAGCCAAGGGCTAACCCCCCATTAGCTGACACACATTACCATCACATCTTGCCTACACCAGGGTTTTAATCCGCTCTAGTTAACCCTGCTTTCCTAATGTAGACCTGGCCAATGGGCACGTGAGCCAAGTTAAGGAACCCCATTCAAAGTTGATTGAAAAGTCAGATTCAGAGAGAGGAGCCGTGCCAGTCAGTGGAAACAGG